TGCACTTGTATAGTTGTATTTTCCCATTTTGTTTTAGGAATGTAAATGAGATAATATCTATAATTTGCGGTTACCATTAATAATTTATTGACTCTACTGAGACCAAAATAATTAGACGTTTGTTTTGTTTACCAGTTTAAACTTTTACATGAGATTGATCACACTTAAAGAGACTCATTTGGTACCTCTATTGAGAATTATGAGATCTTAGTTTCAAATTTTAGTAGAGGCAAAAAATTAGGGGATTTCCTTATTTGGTACCTTGGGAATTAGTAAGGTGCTCACAAATTGACCCTTATACCATGGTATCTAGTGTTAAATTTCTACATTATAAAAATTTCCTTTGAAGGAATTCTTCCGCGTTTTGGATTTTGTAAGTTGATTAATAATTTTATGATTTGCTGCTACTTGTGTTTTCCCATTGTTTTGGGAATGTATATGAGATGATAGATGTAACTCAGCACGGCTACCATTAGTAGTTTGTTGACTCTACTGAGATCTAAATAATTAAATGTGTGTTCACTCTACCAACTTAAGCTTTTAACGTGAGATTGACCAAACTTAAAGAAACTCATTTGGTACCTATGTTGAGTATTATGAGAACTTAGGCTTAGATTTTAGTGAAGGCAAAAAAAATAAAAATAGGGGGTTTCCTTATTTGGTACCTGTGAAATTAGTAAGGTGTTCGCAAATTGGCCCTTATACCATGGTATCTCTAGTTTAAATTTTTATCATTATAACAAAGTTCCTTTGAAGGAATGCTTTCGTGTTTTTAATTTTTGTGAGTTGAATAATGATTTATGATTTGCTGCTACTTGTATTTTCCCATTTGTTTTTGGAATGTAAATGAGATGATAGATGTAACTCAACGAGACTACCATTAATAGTTTGTTGACTCTACTGAGACTTACATAATTGAATGTGTGTTCTCTATACCAACTTAAGCTTTTAATTTGAAATTGACCACACTTAAAAGAGACTACAAAATGTGAACGAAGCCTACCCAGGCTGTAATATATGGAGTTCTGATATGTGCATCAAGAAAGTTTGGGTTATGATCCCTGAGTTATTTTTTGGTGTCTATGGATTGAAAGGAACCACAGATGTTTTGTTGGGATCTCAACTCCAAGCAACTCTCTTAAAAGCTAGATGTTTACTTATGTTGTTCAGTGGGATTAATTTAACACTGAACAATTTCTTGACTTTGTTAGCTCTCTAGTACTAGTTTGAAGATTGTAAAGGAGCTAACAACTTTTGTTTATGCTCTCTGTAAGCCCTTTTGTCTATTATGTAATTCTGCTTCTGCTTGATGCTTTTTAATGAAACTTGGATTACAATGGTAATCACTTCGCCTCATTTTTTAAAATTTTATTTTGCTGAGTTTAATGATATTCAATCCATTGAGATAGAGCCAAACCTGTGGAAAAGGAAACCAAGAGCAACATTCTTGGTTGATTTCCCCGGTGCACTAAACGGTACCAAAACTAGGGGGGTGCAGGGTTTTTTTTGCTGAAAATGTTAACTATATATACAAGATCGATATTATTTTGTATGTATACAATAAATGTTGAATCCTATTGGCTTTTTCATGTGTTCACATTTTATATTTTGAATCTCCTTAGTGAAAATCCTTGCTCCGCCATCAACTTCACTCATTATCTAGTCTCCTCCATTACATGCAAAGAATATAGAAGAAGTGTCATTTAATTCTATTGACAAGAAAATTCTGATTTGTGGTTCAACTTCGTGGGATTTCACTGAGTATGTCGGGACTAAAGCATACATGTACAGTAGTTGCAATATTCATTCCGATTTCTCATAGTGGACTATTGAAAATTTGTTTCTTCTTATCAATCTTGGGACTTCCACATCTTCCACATCTTCCACAGACCAAAGATTTTGCATAAGTTGCCAGTAGCATTTCTTCTGCCTAAGTTCTCGTCTTCTTGTAACTTTAGGCTTTCTTTACAAAATTTATGTGTCTTTTTGGAGGTTTATTTCTAGACAGATTGATTGCCTTGTCCCAAAGGCTTCTTCTCTTCACAAGAATCATAATTTATCTGTGTGTGATGAATGATCTTTAGTGTAACTGATCCCTATGATTGGACACCTATCCTAGAATTCCGAAGGACTAGATGATAAAAGGTGAAAATGTGAAATCAAATCTCTCCATTGTACATTTTTGGCTGTTGAGGGTGTGATATGATATGTGCTTCCATCTTATGCCTGAACTTCCATTGGCAGATCTATGATTATTTTATTCATCCAGTTTAGTAGTTTCATGCCATGTTGTGCAACTTGGACCTCTTGCTAATTGTTACTCATGCTTAATAGCTTAAAATAGAACTGGAAGTTATTTGTATCTTTGTTTTCAAAGGGCTTATGACACACATCGAACTTTGACTGCTTTGGCTCCTCTTATGAAAAGATTCCTCATATCAGCTTATTAAGTTTGTTTTCCCTTCAGCCTCTTCTTTCAGCAGGAAATGGAGCTTTCTTTGATAGGACTGCAGAATGCAGGAAAAACATCACTTGTAAATGTGATTGCTGTAAGTAGATAATTCCTCTATGCTATTTTTTTTCGTATCCTTTTGCTTCTATGTAGTCTGATTGTCTCTGATGACCTAATAATATTTGTTCAATCTGTCATTCTTAGACTGGTGGATACAGTGAAGATATGATACCGACAGTAAGTTTTCATCTTTCTAGCTCTTAGTCGTAAGCTAATTCCTGTTTTCACTACATCGTTTTGATCTGTGATAATAATACGAATCTATTGGATGCTCAGGTGGGATTTAACATGCGGAAAGTGACTAAAGGAAATGTGACTATAAAGTTGTGGGACCTTGGAGGTCAACCCAGATTCCGCAGTATGTGGGAAAGATACTGTCGTGCAGTTTCTGCAATAGTGTATGCTCCTTCTTCAGCTTACTTGATTACATTGTGCGGATGCTACTATTCCTTCCTCATTGTTTTTTGAGTGCTTCATCATTATGCCTAGTCATAATAATTTCAGAAGTGATGGAAGAGAGCACATAGTAGATCAGTGGTCTTCTTGTTGTTTGGTTGCATTTAATTTTCACCAACCATGAGATATTAAAGAGTAGATGCTAGTTCAAATTACCTGATCAGGCTTTTGACAGATTCATTTCTAAAACACCTTAGGGGTGGTAGAATTCCTTTCTTTTAGCCGTTCTTTTTATTCAAATCATAAAGAAGTTTTTACTAATGATCCTGGTAGCCATAGTAGTATCTTGTTTTTGAGTTCTCTTTCCTTGCAGTTATGTTGTTGATGCTGCTGATCATGACAATGTTAGCATTTCAAGAAGTGAAATCCATGACCTGCTGAGCAAGCCATCATTGAATGGTATTCCATTGTTGGTATTGGGTAACAAGATTGACAAGCCTGGAGCCCTTTCCAAGCAAGCTTTGACTGATCAGATGTAAGCAGATAAAATTGAACTTCACTGCTGTCTCTTCTCTTCGTAGTTTGTGCTATGGTTGATTAGGGGTATGGGATGGTGTTTACTTCTTTCATTTTGGCTAATTGGTCGAAAATTTGAGTGATAGGAAACAAATTCTCTTCCATTTCCTTCTTTCATGATGCCCAACTGCATTAACATGTTTTGATTCATTTTCGAATGATTTTGCAGGGACTTGAAATCTATAACAGATAGGGAGGTATGTTGCTATATGATATCATGCAAAAATTCCACCAATATTGACTCAGTCATTGATTGGCTTGTTAAGCACTCAAAATCAAAGAGTTGAGCCCTTTCTCCAGATCTACAAGTTCCTTTTGTTGGTTTTTCCAGAGTTTTCTTGTATGTAAATTCTTTTCCCAATTGAAAGAATTGATACATATATTATCCCAGCCTGCAAATTGTGTTCCAATGTGTTTTTTGGGGGAAGGACAACTTCATTGACTTATTTGAAAAAAACTTATTATAATTTCTCTTGTTTGAGTTGTTGACACCAAATTATGACTTATATGAGTGTGTTTGGTACGATCCAAATCTTATTTTGCATTTTTTTCCAACTCAACACTAATGAGTTTTTTTGTGTTTTAGTTAAGTTATATTATTATCCAAATTTTATGTGACTTTGAATAATTATGAAATCTTGGCTAAAGCTTAATTGACAATCCATAATGAGGCTACTTGTGAATTTTCCTCAGTTTGAATTTTTGATCAAGGACAGTGTCATGCCTTGAAACTTTTAGAACGTCATCTAGAGTATTTCAAGTTTGAATACTAAAATATTGTGTTGAAGTTTCAACTCGTACGCTAATGGTCCATTTGGGTATGTGATATGGTGTTGCCCATTTTTTGAAATCAGATTCGATTTTGTAGTTTTGTATGGAAATGCAATTTGAATTTTTAAGTTATATTTTTTCTTGTCACCATCCGCTAGTTGTGAGGATGATTAAAAATTTCTCCAATTCTTTATACAATCTTACCAAATCAGCAAACCGTAGTTCATAAACAGAATATTGAAATATCATATGACACCTCAAAAAGGCATATCTCAAAGATACACTAATCAGCAATGGTACCTTAGTTATTCTTCAATATAATCCTTTTCATACGATACAAACAATCTCTTCACACTGAACACGAGTCTTATTTACACAATTTAAAATGATGGGTCATTTTTCTTTTTACAAAACACAAACAATGAGTCAAGTTTTACATTATAATTTTTTTTTTAAAAAAGATTATTTCTCAATTACATTTCGAACGTTGATTAATCTTTCAGCAACTAGTCCTAAAACTGGTTATCTGGGTTTAACTCGAACTTTTATTTGTTTCCACTTTGAAATGAGATGAGAACAAATTGAAGCCATTGAAAAAAGTAGTTGCATATTTTCACTAGATGCAAGCCCTTATTTTACTTCTGTATACAACACATTAAAGGGTTAAGTCATAGTCTCATTGTTGCGTAACAATAAGTCCACATTTTGCAAGTTAAAGTTACTGAACCGATGAATCGACCATCCCTAGACCATGTTATGTACTGTTACCATAAGCAAGAGGCTCAGTTAACACACTCCAATCTACAGGAATCAAATGAACATCTATGGAGCACAAGAAGGAACCTTAGCTCCAGCTTTTCTTAACTCTAAAAATTTGACCCAAAAAGGTAAAAGACAGATGAATGTTAGCGACCAAATCAAGCATAAGCTACATTATAGAGCAGACAATGTACCATGCCTGAGATTTTACAGGTGCATAGCTTTATACATTCTTTGCTATGATTACACCTAATGGACACAGATTAACAAGGATTAACCATTTAATCCAAGCTTTATTGCAGAGACACTACGCAGAAACCCGTTTTTGTTCTTATGAAAAGGGGTTGTCAAAGCGTATACCACTTCTATCAGGTAGCAGCTTCTTCATGTAGTACTTTGACCTACGAGAGAGATTGATCTTTTTCCTTTTTTGAGCTGGTATACGGTCGATAGAACATTCAGAAAAACCGCGCCTCACAAACCTGTAAAGGAGAGAAATGCATACATGAATATCAAATCAAGAAACCATCTGTTAATGATATTTTTCTTGTTCAAGGACAAAATCCAGTCTCAACTTTGAACATTATATGAATGCAACTATGACAAAAATGCTTGATTATGAGGTTTCTTGTGTCTGAATACTCTTGCAGGGCAGCTTTATCTTAAGAGAAAATGTTAGATTCATTAGTGCTCCATTTTGAGTTTAACAAAGTAAATCACATGAACTTCATGATTTAATGATGTACAAGTAAGCACATTGTGCTACTGTCTGTGCTGTAAAGCAAATGCAGAACTAACATGTCAAAATTATAACAAAGCATCTGAATACTTTTACGGGACAGCTTTTTTTATTGGGTTAGTTAAATAGGATCAACATCCATCTTCTCAAAGAGCTTATACTTTTGAATTAATTTTATAACTCAAACGCAGTTTTAAATATTTATGCTATTTTTAAAATTTTATACTCATTGATATGAATTACACGTGCAACATGCATACCCAAAAAACAAGTAGTAATAATAATCAAGAGGAACTCTTTTCTTCTTTTCCTTTATGATTCTCTGTACCTTGACATAGCATCTTAGCTTTATCTCCCCGTTGAAATGACTAAAGGACTTGTATTCTCAAATTCAGTATAAATATTGCAATAAATTTAATGACACTCAGTAATCTGCCATTGTCCATTGCACTTTAGTTTGGCAATCAATGTTCGTTTGCCAATTGGAAGAACAATGTATATATTAGCCAGGGAGCAGGAAAGTGGAAAGAGCGTACCAATCAGCTGTGCGAGTTGTAAGCAGAAACAACATTTGCAATCCAAGGGATGATGCCTTCTTCTCGATGTAATCTACAATTCATTTTTGGAATAGAAAGTTATTGGCTATTGCAATAATAAGTGCAGAATTTTGATCAGACCAAAATGTTCAAGGACACCAACTGTGTTTAGGTAGATAGAAAAGAAGTAAACACATAACAATTTGTCTCAACTTTTAAGGACACAACATTCTTTAATAAAGTGTAAGACCAACAAAGCATAACTATGAGAAATAAGTTGATACGATCCTGGATAGACAGACACTAAGCAGCCTATTGTGTACAATTCTGAGATGTTTAGTGGACCGTTAACTCGTGTCAAGACCAAGGCGTTCAAGGAATACCTCGTTTGGAGCTTGGGAATTTTTACAAACAAGTTGAAGAGAACATTGTTACAAAATACGAGTCAATAAGTTGCATTTGCTACCCAAGTAACATCTAATTGTCAAGTTCTGGTTTAAAGGTATTCCAAATCTGTGATCTTTGTTTTGCAAGTATTACTGGACTACTTCTGGAGTACTCCTCTATTGGTAATACAAGTTACTTCCTCAAAAAAAAAAAAAAACAATGATCTAAAATCACAGCTTTGGCTTGGACTTATTCCTATAAACCTTTATGTCTTAGTTCTTGTTTATTAATAAAAAGTAAAAACGACGGTTGTTTTCATTGTTGTTATTGTTTATATTCAAGAAGAATATTAGGGGGAAAAAAACAGGAGAAAGAATTTTCTTTGATTTTATGGCTAGACAAAATCCATTGGTGGGCAAAAAATTGGATTCTGGTTGAGAACAATCTAGTGCTAGTTTGCAGTAAAATGTTCTTAATATTGATCCAATATTTCATTTGTGCTTTCTCATTTATTTCGTTGATTTTAGTCTGTTAGCTTTTATCATCCCTTACTCTTCACATCAATTCCATTCTAGAAAATAACCTCAAGAAATTCAACAAATGTCAATGATTTCGGTGAGTTGATTTCGAACTATGGATTTTCATAGAACGGAAAAAGGCTAGACTGTGTCTGATTATTAGAGAGAGTAGAGGTTGTAATGAGAGAAACACAAAAGTTGAGGGACATCTTAGAGGGAAAGCACGTAAGGGTGTAGTTGAGGAGCTTTTATATCTAAGTGTTTGCTTTCAAAAATTTCTTCCACACGTACAAGGAAAGTTTGGAGGAATGGATAATCACATGGGGAAATACTAAATGATCACATTCCATTGCTATATACAGTATGTATAATTGGCTCATTTTAATGCTTGAGCTTCCTAAAAAATCTTAAGGTATTACTGGAGGTACTGAACTTAGTCTTACAACTTATGTTGGTGGCATATTATCATTTGTGACAATGTTCTGATATATAACATGTCATTCATGGTAAGTAGATTCATCATGTCTTTATTTTATGCTTTGCACTGTTTGCTAATCCAAGTGATTAAAGGCTTTACGAAATATTTTAAACCTAAGGTTGTTCCTTTGTTAACGTGTTTGCAACTTCATCGGACAAATGCAAATAATCACAACATCCTGAAACTGCTTACATGCATTATAATCGAAGAAGTAATTAGTTTTACTATGAGAAAGAGTTACCTAGTAATTTGTCTCCTTGTCCTTGGCCACGACAATCAGGAGAAACGGCAATAGCAGCAACCTCTCCACATTTTTCTTCAAAGTAAGGAAAGAGAGCAGCACAAGCTATAACATGGCCTTCTCTCTCCACAACAATGAATGAATGCAGTGCCTCCACAAGCTAGAATAAGTAAAAAACACATAATTATGAAAAAAGAAAAGTGATACAAACATTAACCAAATAGAAGCTGATTTAGCAAGTATTTTTCCATAATAAAAAGCATCAAGATTAACCTCTTCCTCGCTCCTTCTGATCAATGTTCCAGACTCTTCTAGAGGTTGTAATAATTGTTTGATCTCGGGAATATCTGACAGCCGAGCCATTCGTGTTCCTTCATAAAGATCACTGAGAAAAAGAGATTCATGCACATCTTAGTCGAAAGATAGTCATAAAAAAGATAGCAAATATCAATTAGCCATGTCCTAACGTAATTATACGACTGAGAGTACAACTGTTAATCCTAGAGACCGCGAAACCATGAACTTTTGTGGTGAGAAACATAATGTCATATAGGGAGACGATCAGACAACCAGAGACATGTAGATTCTCACTGCTCAGGGAGTTCTATATATCAATATTGTAAAAGTAAAGCTAAGTTTATTTTGGCAATGTAAGTAGCTCGTTTAACATCTTAGGAAATTCTGGATATTACTTCAATTAGTCATATACCAAATTGTGTCCTAGGGGATTGAATCTTGTAAGTTGCGCCATGGATTTCTCCACAAAGAAACAAAATGTCAAATTTGGAATGAAATAATAGCACAGTAATTTCAGCTGTTCTTCTCCACATTGGTGGTGTTTTAATCATAATGGTGAAAGGTGGCTCACATTAGCCCAGTTTGTTACTCTTAACCAACTGAGCTCGTTAATTGTAGATTATATTTTTGTCGTCTCATTCATGACTTGCTTTGACAGTGAACTATTTGTACCATGGATTTGACGGTTCAAAAACACAAGGAAAAGTGAATATCATTGATCAACTTAAAGAGGAAATGATGTAAATGTGGAGAAATGAATATCAACATGTCTTGACTAAATTACAAGCAATATTTCATCAAGATTTGCATACCTAGCTACCATTGTCCCAACTCCATCTCTTTGGAACAATTCCTTTAGTAAAACTCCACCAATAGTACCATCCAGCAGGTGAACTCGTTGAACACCTCCCTGATGGCAAATGGAGTACAGAATTGGCAAAATTTTTAACCAATAAGCCAATAGAGATATCATATTGATAAATGAGGAGTCAATTTAGTAGAGACATGAAAATTTGATCAGATGATAGATCACTGTAAAAGTTGATAGTTACTAGACACAGCAAACCATATATAGCCATAATATGTAGTGAGAACATGAAACTAGTTACTATTCTGTAAATATACATATCTCTAATGCACAAGCTATTATAAAAGAAGTTTTAACAGCAAAGAGTGACAACTTCCAAATTCTACCCCTTTAGCCATCAACGGTCAAGTTTAGAAAACATGCAATTTTCTGTTGTATGTTTAGGGTTCGGGTAAATAACATAGACAATTATTCTCTAGTTTGGACACTTCGAAAAATCTGCAGATATAGTGATTAGACAGCCAGGATCTTACTCTGCACACGAAAGCAGCTGCAGCTAACTCTGAAAGATAACCATTTAGTCGACTTAACCTCTCTTGTCCTCCAATGGCAAAACCCTGCTCACTAGACCAAAGCCCATTCCCATTGTCAAAACCAACACCATTCTGAAAAACACTGTATTTTTGGCTAAACCCATTCATATTGTAGGAAGAGATTGATCCATTAGAACCATTGTGACCTAAACAATTGAAGTCCTCTTGACTGACAGCTTTTACATAATTAGCTGCTGCCTCACTTTGTTCTGCTCGTTTGCGAACCAGCATGTCAGCATCTTGAAGAGTCAAGAAACGAATAAGACGGCCAGACTCATCCAGAATTGGACCATCTATAATACAAATCAGTTTCTCTGCTCCTAGAGCCAAGGCACAAGCTGTAGCAACTTCATATGTGCTTCAATAAAATAAAACACACTATCAATCTTAAACTCAAGGCAAAATAAAGACGGAAAGAAAAAACATATCCACGAAACACCGACTCATGATTGAAGAGTCGGGAATGTCGTGTGCTGAGCATCTATAGCTTAATCAATCAGAAAATGCTTATAGGAAAAAGTAAAACATGTTACACATTAGGAATTGTAAAATGAATTAACTCAACATAACTTGTGAGAAATATTGGAGAAAATACTTTTGAATTGCGTATCTATTGTTACATGAAGACCCTATTTATAGACACTACATTGGAAACCTTTTCCAACTAGAATTCCTATTCTTGTTCCTATTCTAATCCCTATATTAAGTAAGAAATACTTATTCCTATTCTAACATAAGTCAACATGGGATCATGAACAGATGACGACTGTGTAATACAAGTTGAGTTCCCAAGATAGTAGATTGATTTAAAAGATAAGCATTCACATCGAGGGCTGTGACACACTTAAACATATTCACAAAAAGCTGACTTACAATGGTAGTTTCAGAAAAATGTGGTGTACTGAACATCTAGCCCAGTTAATTAGATATAGTTTTGTACAACAACATAACCAGTGTAATCCTACAAGTGGGGTCTGGGGAGGGTTTTGTTACGCAGCCTTACCCTACCTTTTGTAAGTAGAAAGACTTTTTCCTCTAGAGCCTCTAGAAATAGTTTTGTAAAAACATGAAAAACTAGTACACATTAAGAAATGAAGTAATATCTGCAAACACATGACCACTGATTAAAACAAGCTAAGTTCCCAAGAAAAGCAGATTGATATTAAAAAAATAGCATTCCCGCAGAGGGCACTGACACACATAAAATCATGAAATTATTGGCTTCTACTCATGGTGAGGGATAGAGATATGTTCAAAGTTCGATGTTAAGCTAACTTCAACTCCACAAGTCCATCTATATCGCCCCCAATAGATGGGAGTCATAATGTCAAATATGTGTGTGTGTCTGCACGAGCACAATATTTTTTTATTAGTACTATCTTGTAATGAAAGAAGAGCAGAGAATGTTAGTGTACTTCCTTATCACCGTGTTGATAGTGTCTGAATTATATCTAAAACTACATGAATCGTGAAGACAATAATTGATAGGTAATGTTACCATAAGAAACCACCCAAATTGAGTGTAACCTATTCAATCAAGTAAACATAAACCCAAAAGTGTGACCAAAATGAGATCAACCTGAAGAAATATTTCTTTTACAATAATTAATTTTACACTTCTGATAATAGTTGACATGCACCCTAGGCATAAATCACATTCTTGTTAGTTATTTCCCCTTTTTTCGTTTTAAGAATTTCACTAGAAGACTTCCTTTTGATTTAGCTTATGAGTTTTGATCCTATCACTGAGATTTAAGTATTGCAATCTTCCAAGTGCACGAGTTTTCACAAAAAAAAAAAAGATGAAGAAGAATAAGCAGGCGAAGAAGAAGAGAGAAGGAGCACTTAATGCCTGTCAAGCAGTTGAAGAAAGAAAGGAGAATGTCCCATAAGTTAAAGGAAACTTGATAATAGAAGCTTACCAGTTTTATTAAAACAGAGGGTAGAACCGGAAAATTGATCACTACTAAGGTGAAGTCTTATGTATCACTATACTCTAGTATATAGCTTCCTGAAATTCTGTTTGCTCGCTGATTTTGACGATTTTCTTAGAACAAGATGCAGGACTAATGATGCTCAACAACAACAAAGATACCTATCAAAAACCATAAAGCATACTTGCAGTTCAAAACTTCTCCAGAGCTGGAATATCCAAGATTGCTTAATAACACAATGCTATCCTGATCAAGTCTCTCACGAATGCGAGAAACGTCTATCTTCTTTACTTCACCAGTCGCTGCATAATCAGTTCCTTCTACAACTCCTCTTCTCTGCCGAAATTTATAATGAAAATCCCAAGTCAACCTCATTGTCATTGAAATGACATTTGATGCAAAAAATTTAAAACCTTAAAAGAATGAAATATATTTCATAATATTTACATTGTGCAATGACATTATATTCTCACCTTCATTGCTAGAAAATTACCGCTAGCAACACTAACACCATCATGCCAGCGACTATTTTCTCCATGCCGGCGGACACCAGTCAATGATGGCCCCGGAGACAACTTTGCCTCTATCATAAGACGAATTCTTCCAGCTGCATCCATTGCAGCCATCAGTGAATCAGGGTCTGTTACTCTGTAGCGGCCTACATACTTGGGCTCACTTCCTGTAAGAAAGAGTTTCAAATCACTTGCTTCTGAGAATATTCTTCTTAAGATAGAGATAAAGTTGTAGTTTAGAGAAAGAAAAATAATATAATGGTGCTAATTAAAAAGGAAAAAATCCAGGAGTTTGAATAGTAAAGACTGTTAAACTCCTTTCCATGCAAAATTTGGTTATTCTAAAATGCATAATCATCAAGCCATTAATGCTATTGATTCCTCTTTCTATGAATGAAAATGGATGCCGAAGCTTTGGGTTTCTCCATGTTAATTTTAGCAATTTTTGGAAATGCATTACAATCAATATAATAGGAAAAAGGATCTTGCATCTAAACTATTTACTAGGTTATGAGCTCCAGCTCATCATTAGCAAGTTGATCAAGCTTTAACCTGAAGTTTTCACTGTTTAGAGCAGACCCAAGCAATTGTCGAGCGAAATTAGAGGCAGAATACCTTTTAGACTTTACTGAGTCTTTATTAGCTTAATATCTTCAGAGTTTGTCAGTAAAACATGCTTAGATTGTTTCTGTTAATCTAATAGGATGATGCATGTACCAACGCAGGGACACTTTCTAGACGATGACAACATCAAGACGAGGAAAATTAATATTTTAGCTAAGACAAAAGTCATCAAAACTCCGTCTGATATAACTATTAATTGATTAACTCTGTATCAATCACAAACTAGCCAACACCAGCTATACGAATCAACTGAATTCACATTCAGCTCCATTTCGTTCCAATACTAAGTACTCCAGAGTGTTTTTAAAATTATATTATGAGTTCTCTAAAACAAGAGGTTAACTAAATCTCAAAGAACATGGACATACAAGTCTTTCACTAAGTACGAAGACTCCTGGTAAATATTGACCTAATTTAAGTGGAGCCTAAGCTGAAATTTTTTGTCTATCATCAAGAATAATAAAATTAAGAGAATAACAATTATTTGCTATCAGCATCAGAAATAGTGAAGAAAACACACGAGCTGCTAGAAACTAGCACTATCAAACTGAACAAGAAAAGAAAACAACAACATTTTGCTGACCTCTTTCAGCCAGAAACCTATCAATTTGGACATGAGTTCCGGGTACAAGAACAAACTTGATTCCCAGGCCATGAAGGAGCGAGATATCCTGCAAAGTTTGTGCGTAAAACAAACCGTCATGCATTACTAAAAGTGGGATAAATCAACAAACTAATGAACTTACAATTACCAAAAATCAATCAATCACTACTCAATCCCAAACTAACCCAGTTCAACTACGTGAATCTTCTTAAATTTTTTATCAGTTAAAGTTCTCTTAAAATTTATAACTTCCCTAAATCACACATTAAACAGCAGAGTTACAAAATCTCCAACCAAATCTTATTTAAAAAAATCCAAACTTGGAATGTCACTACTAGAAAAGGAAAAAGAAAACAAACACATTGAGCTAACGTTTGGCCATAGATCTTGCCAGTAGTTTCTGAAAATTTATCTTCAAATATCTATTTGGCCATGAAATCTGATCTTCGAACATTTACAAGTTTCCAAAAACTCGCCGTTTTGAAAGAAATTTCACTTTCAATCGCGAAACTTGACAAAACAATTCAATTAAAATCCATGTCCAAACAAAACTTGAAGTTCCCAAAATCACAACTTCGCAAACTCATATTTTCAAGTTTTAGCTTCAAAATGTATGGCCAAACGAGATAACTGGAAGACAAAGTTAAAATAGGAACATGCCATAAGAAGATGATCCAAATGAGGACTATCAACAATTTCAGCTGAGATTAAAACAACAAAAGTGCTTCCTCTATGCGCAAGAAAATAAGGCCAAGCTTCTCGAAAAAACCCAATGAATAAGTCATCTTTTATTGCACTGCTCACGTCGGAAAAACCAGCTGCACTTTCCGTTTCCCCATAAACACCGCACCTAATTGACAATCTCTTCGAAAAATTAACCCTTAATGATAACAACTTTCGCCTCCCTTGGAAACTATTTTCAACTGGAGTTGTCCAAACATCGCTGCGAGCGAAAATTGGTAGCTTACATTGTTTAATAACTGGAGCACAAGGCGTTGCCGGTGAAGCTGACATTGGAAATTTATAGGGAGTTGCTGAAGTCAGAGTCGGAGTCGGAATCGGAGAATTTTGAATAAGAAATGTTCGCCGGCAACGGGAATGGACATGAACCGGTAGTGCCACTGGTTAACTGTCGACCCGCTCTGTCCGGCTCGACCGGTTTTCTTATTTAGGTAGGATATTTGATGATGACTCTCAAAGTCTCGACCATGAATATTATTATTATTATTATATATTATATTATTAAATAACATATAATATTTAGAATAAATAATTAAATTATATTATTATTTGTTGTTATATAATTGACAAAGTAAAAAATAAAATAACTATTAAAATAATAACATGATCATCGTCATATACCATGAATATAAATTATATGATAAAATAAAATTTAAATTTATCGTATTTAAACAATTTATAACTATTATTACAAAACTTTTAAAATATTTTGCCCACAAACTTTACAATTGATTTTTCCTAAAGTTTATTTCCAACAAAATGCAATCATTAATTAGTCAAAGAAAATATAATTTGTCGTTTCACTTATCATGATTTCTTTTATTTTATTTTAAAAAATAATACTTTTTTTTTACTTTTTAATGCTTTTTAATACAACCTTTCTATTTTTGTAACTGAGCAAACTTCCTCGTAAAAGGCAAGTTCAATTTATTGCAATATTTATAGCTCCTATAATCTTATTTTGTGTTCACACCATTTAGTAGTCTTACACGTAAAACACATGCACCTACCCCCATGACATATTTTTTAACAAATATTAATGACTTTTTAATTTCAATTCTTCAATAATACTTTGACCAATACTTTTACTTTTTATAATTCTATAAAATTCAAAGATTTTATTTACCAAAAAAAGACAAATAAATTAAACTTAAAAAAATAGAATTATTAAATTCAAGTCAATCATAGTTCAAAAATATACAAGTCCTTTACTTATTACAACAATAAAGACACGTTAAAGAGTAAGTAATTTTTATAGTGCTCGAACTTGAAATCTTCGTTAAAATAGAAGATTTTTTTTTCATGTTTTAACATAAAACGATTCTAAATTTATTATTTATAAATATATAGTGTGAATACACATCCGAACTAAGTATTTTTAATTTCATTCTTCTATCGACTCGATACTCAAAAACATACCAATTCGATTAATTTAAACGCACATACCTTGATTATGGAAGACAAATAAGGGCTATCAATAATCTCAGCTGATAGAAGAACAACAAATGTCCGATCCCTATGCGCAAGAAAATAAGGCTGAGCTTCCCTCATCATCCTCACAAATTCCTCTCCATCGTCGTTATCAATTTTAGTCGTAGAATCAGTCATTGATGCTATCGAACTATAATAGTAATCAGTACCACTCACAGTGATTGTTGTACCTTTTTCAACACTGCTGCAGCAATTCAACCAAATCCCCTGTTTCTCATCATCTCTTCGAATTCTCATACCTCCAAATCTCAAAAATCCACGATTACCAAAATCGAACTTTTTCCCCATTCCCAAATTCCATCCACAATTCAATTTCAACATCGCCATGAAACAATCGAGAAATCAACTAATTTATAAACGCTCTAAAACAACTCTTTTTTTTTCTTAAACAGTAGAAGTAAAGAGAAGACAACTCAATTGACAAATCTTCACAATGTGTTTATGTTTTCTAATGGCACTTAAATCCATAGTTTCTTCAGAACACTTGTAGATTAAGTAATTGTTTGTCTTTTTCAAGGTTTTTGGATGAAATTAAAATGAGAGATTTTTGAGTAAATTAAATTTAAAAAAATAAATAAAATTGCATTTGGCCTAATTTGGTGGTGGTTGAGTCATGGATGGTATGAACAGAAAGAGGAAAAAGAAATGTGGCCTTTGGTGAGAGTTTTTCAAAGAATCATTTCAAGACAAAATTAGATTCTTTTAGGGTATATATATATATATATATATATATATATATAAATGTTTTTGTCCATTCATGAGGTTGTTGGAATTAATGGTGTGTTTGGTACTCTTAAGGAAAATAAAAATAAGTGGAATTTTTATAAAATATTTTTTTAGTGTTTGGTAAATAAGAAAAAAAATATTTTCCCCGTTTTATTTTATGTTATTTTGTTTATTTTGTACTTGCATCGAGAGATGTTGTAGATCTATCCTTCTATTCTTATTTAATGTTTTCTTAAGTCAATTTTATGATAAATGATGAATACATTTTGAAGATTAATTAACTATTCTATCAATGGTATAATAGGTCAAATATGATAATTTATGCATAAATTTTATAAAATGACAAGTATTGTAATTCAACTATTTATAGAAAGGAATGACATACTCCCTCCGTCCGATATTGTTTATCATAGTTTCTATTTTTATAGTTAAACTATAAAACTTTAACTAACATTTTAAGATGTATTTTTCATCATATTAATATGCAAAAAATTGTAATTTATAGTACTTTTCATATAGTTTTAGAATATATAACATTTTTTTTGTTTAAAATATCGAATTAATGTGATTCAATTTACCTTTAAAAATTAGTCAAATTGATTTTCGATAAGCTTAACATGACAAACAATTCCGGACGGAGGGAGTATAAAATGGACGAAGGGAGTACTTTCTTTGTCCAACAAATTAGTTGTCCACTATTGACTTGACATACTATCACTTAAGAAACTATATCACTCTTTGAATATATAATAAATACAATGTCTAAGAAAAATATAATAGAGAAATGACTATAATTAATGATAAGGTTAAATTAAGAATTAAGCTTAAAAATTGTTCATATATTTCATAAAGTTGACAAGTATTATTGGAATGTATTTTTAGTAAAGTGGACAAGTATGGTTACACGAATATAGTGTAATTTTAAGCGTATTTATATTTAAATTGAATTAAGATTTTAATTTTATGAATTTTAGAGAGTACTTAATAGCAGAAGCAAAATCAAGATTTCATTTTAGAGGGGTTTTGAAATTTAGAATATCGTCTTGAAGCGCTAATAACAGTCCTAAGATATGGACATATTTATTGAATTTCTTATTATTTAAGCAAAAGATACTTGGTTTTGCTTCTAGCTCCACCCAGATAGTGGGATGGACGGGTGGGGGTGAAGAAGGGGTGTGTGGGGCGGCGCGTGAAGAAAAAACAATTAAGTAAAATGTAATTTAAAAGAATAACTTGTTTGATCTACTTCTATTAGGAAAATCGTTTTCTTATTTGTAAGGAATTTGTTTAATTTTTTGCGAAAAATATTTTAAAAACATTATAACCAATTAAACATAAAAAATTCAAATACATTTTACATAAAATATTTATTACTTGTAATGTACTACTATAAGGGGTTATTTGATTCACATTTAAAATATATTGGGATAATGTACAAGTTTCCCGTTAATCTATGCTCCAAATCTCAGACACACACTTATACTATACTAAGGTTCTATTACCTCTAAACTTATTTTATTAATAATTTTCTACCCCTTTTTGACCAACGTGGTACTATCTTGAGGGCCCAACGCTGATTGACTTTTTCTTTCAAGTCAGTGCCACGTAGGCCGAAAAGCGGTAGAAAATTACTTATAAAGTAAGTTCAGGAGGATAATATGACCTTAGTATAGCATAAGTGTGTCTCTGAGATTTCGAGCATAGATTGAAGGGATACTTGTGTATTTTTCCAAATATATCCCATAAATATAATCTTGATATTAAAACCAGGATTACCTACAACCTATATAATTTATCCCAAAATACCTTTTTCCCATAATTTTGTGTACAATTAAATTACGTTATATCAACTAAAATGGAAGAAGTAGGACCTATTTACTTATCATATTATTTATTGTTGAATCTATGGCCAGATGCATTACTCTCTTATATTTGAATAGTCAAACCCAAAATCCATTTGAAAATATACTGCATTTATGTTTAGATTTTTCCTTAAAACTATTTAACTAAATACCTAGATACACAATCTATAATTTTGATTTTACTGTTTAATAATTAAAAAAAATAAATTCTTACAGGGAAAATGTGGCATTGAACTCAAAATTAATGATAATCGTGAATCAATATTCAAGCGTGTTCTAAAATGATAATTTTATGTCACGACATTTATCTCTAGATTTCGTCGAAAATTCTTGAGATCCTACCTCCACGACATCACATTTCCTCTAGCTTCTTTATACTCGATCAAACATTCTCCTTCCCTTCCTTTAGATATATCTAACATCCATCACTATTGTTATCTTTTCTCCTTCATTTTAGGCCATTACTTTGTAAAAATCCAAATTTTTGGTTTTGAATATTTGTACAATAATTGTTGATTTGATGCTCTAGTTAGCTTCATTTCATATTCTTTGGACTTAGTGGGATAGTTTGGGTTGAAACATGGGAAGGTTCTTTTAAACCTAACGCAAGCTTATATTAAAGAATTAAATATATATATATATATATATATATATATATATATATATATATATATATATATATATATTTTAACGAACCTATATATATATATATATATATATATATATATATATATATAAACTCTCTTTTTCTTTTGAAATGAAGCATATGCATTATTTTTTCTCTTATGTCGTCTTAAAATTTGGAATCTATATATATATATATATATATATATTCATGAAATTTTTTAGAAATTTGTCACCTTGAATTTTGACAACTAAGCTTAAATAATTTTAGGATAACGTTTCAAGATGTATATTGTTACGAGATCACAAATAGAATTGACTAAAAGATCGATTAAAAAGAATTGTAAAAAGAACTCAATAATATTTCTGAGGGAATAAAAGTAACTAATTCTATTTAACTTTTATGTCAATTCACTAAGAAAAAATAATTTTTCTTTTAATATTTCTAAATACTAAGTAATTTAAAATAATTATTTTCAATAAACGTGACAACAAATAAGGAGAAAGGTATAGATTAATTACAGGTGACTTATTTTGTGCAAGTAATAAGTATATTTATACTATCTATATCATTATATCATACATACAATTTAATGAACCAGTTGATAGAGTGTATTAGAAAAAAATAGATATATTTAAGTATTTTGTATTAATAATACTTTATTTGGTTATTTTTTCAGCCTATGCATAATTATTGTATTTTGAGGAATATATGATTAATACAAAAAAAATCATGTTTTATTGATACTGCAAGGGAATTCAATAGGGCTGGGCATAAACATCGGAAAATCGAAACATCGTACCGAATTGAATTTTTTTGGTGTTTTGGTTTCGGTTTTTTGGTTTTCGATTCGGTATTCGGTATATGTTTTTGTATTTTTCGGTATTTTGGTTCGATTTTCGGTATGTGATTTTGTGTAATTCGGTATTTCGATTTACCGAAATATATTATATTATTATATATATTTATATTATATTAATTATTAATATTAAATAATAAATATTATAATTTAAAATAAAAATTTAAAAAGTAAAAGACTTTTTGATATAACTATTTTTAGCCCATTAAATTGAAAATCAAACAAAAAAATTTGTAAATTTTTAAAAGCCCAACTAAGCAGGCCCATTAAAAAAATCGAAATAATAATAAAAACTGAAACCGAACCGAAATACCGAATGCCCATCCCTAAAATTCAATCGGCACCTTATAATGGTCAAAGACTCACATGCCCTTCAAAATGTTTTTATACATCTTTTTTTCATTTTATATATATATATATATATATATATATATATATATATATATATATATATATATATATATATATATATATACACACACACACAATTAATACAAGCTAGTTTGAATATATCAAATCAAACTATGAAAAATAATAAGCATAATTAATTCAAATATTACTAATCAACTTTGTTTTATTGATTAATTTTATTCTTGTCGTTGAAAGCAAGTTAAATTTATTCCTACCGTCAATAAACTTAATAAATATACCCCTCATTGAATGAAAAGCCCCAAATCATTAAAAATTACCCGATTTTACTTAAATTATCCAATTTTAATCTGACCCAACCTACTTAATAATTTAACACATTTTTATACCTAAATCAACTTTATTCCCCCCCCCCCCCCCCCCAACAAAGCCACCACCCTCTCCAGAATCTTGTAGAGGGGTGAAAGAGATCTTGTAGAGAGTGGTGGCTTTGGTGGTGGTGGTGGAAAAACAAAGTTGATTTGGGTAAAAGAAATGGATTATATTATTAAGTGGGTGGGTCGGAATAAATTGAGTAATCTAAGTAAAATCGGGTAATTTTAATTGATTTGGGGCTTTTCATTCGAGGAGGGATATATTTGTTAAGTTTATTAACGAGAGGGGTAAAAGTAACTTTGTCCAACAATAATTATCCACTCTTGACTTGACCCGCTCCTTTAAAAAACTATAAATAGAAGAGTAATTTTACTATATCACCCTTTGAATATAAGAAATACAATGTCTTGAAAAATGTACACCCTCAGTTTAAAAAAAAACCTAGTTTGACTTCGAACGAAGTTTAAGAAAAGAAAGAAGATTTTTTGATCTTGTGGTTATAAATTAAAGTTACGTCAAATGTTCCAAAATGTCCTTTAATCTTGTGGTCTTTAACATATTACCTGAAAAGTTGAAATTAAAGTGTTGTCAAAAAAGGATAGAGTCATTCTTTTTAAAACACACTAAAAAGGAAACTAGTTTTTTTTTTTAAAAATGGAAGGGATAATAAGGAAATAACTATAATTAATAATAAGGGCAAATTAGAAATTAAATGTAAAATTATTCATTATTTCATAAAGTGAACAAATATTGTTAGACATCTATTTTTAGTATAGTAAATAAGTATTGTTGATGGACGGAGTATGATGTGAAGAGTATTTAGTGTGTAAGTTGAATTAAAATTTTAATTTTATGGATCCTGGA